TCAATTTGAGGTGCCTCGTATGCATTTGCTTATTGTTCTCTCCTTTTTATGCTCCTAATCTACCTATGATCTTACATGTGGTCTATGAAGGTTGTGTTTTAAATTTTGCATAAACCAATTTTTTTGGTTTTCCTCTGGTTAATGCTATTTGGTGCCTTTGCTAGTTACGACTTCCGAGCAAGTAATGTCGTTCTTGGTCTTCTCACATATAATCTAATGGACTGTCTACTTCCATTTAGATGATGAATTTGAAGAGGTAAACATTGCGAGACCAGATGAATTTTACCAATCACGTGAGGCTGATGGTGGTTCCAATTGGTGAAAATGACCTACATTCAGGCGACCCGGAATGCTGGGAAAAGATTCGAACTCTTGGCATCATGCACCATGTTTTATGAAACTGCTTTTGAGCTTGTGCGTTTTGCTTTTGGTAATTATCAAGTGTCTGATCTTCGTGGCTCGAATAGTATACTGGATTCATTCAGTCATGATTGGATTATTGTCTATGAAAATGTACTCTCTCTCTCTCTCTCTCTCTCTCTCTCTCTCTCTCTCTCAACATATACATACCTATTATTATTTTATCTATTAAAATTTATATTTTTAAAATTTACTTATTAATCTCCTTCCACGTTTAGTACTTAGTTATTTTTTTTTTGTATTTTTATTTTTATTGATGGTAAATCTAAAACTAAAGGCTTGATACATAATTTTAAAGTCTATGTTAGTTAAAAATGAATTTCATGCCTGGGTAAATTTTAAATCCTAGCTCTGTGATGACGGATCGCGGTTTCTTTCTATTCGGTTGTGACTTGTGAATAATCGCGCACTCAGGGCCTTCGACTACACACGATAGGTATGACTAACAGACGTTCTCAGGCTTCTCTTAGACACTGTGACTTCAAGAAGCTCTAATGGTCTTCTCTCCGACACTTGTATGTAAACACGCACTAACGGCCTTGCTTAACACACGTTAGAACTCAATGTTCCCCTTTCTATTCACTCATCAATTCTCAACATGTTTAGTAATGAAGAGGTACATGGGTATTTATAGGTGCATAAATTAAATCTAAGTCTAAACATACTAGATCTCCTAAATCTTGCAATAATAGAAATCCTAACACTAGAAAGCAAATAAATCCTAATATTACTATAACTACTAATTGCTTGACTTGCACACCAAGCAGTTCGGTCGCCCAAGTCTTTCGACCGCCTCACGAGTGCGCACCGCCCTTCGGCTCCTAGTCCTTGTCAAGCCGCGCGCGCGCCTCACCGCCCACCTTGCCTAGTCCCGCGCGGACTAGGCTTTCGCTCGCTTGCCCAGCACGCGCCCCGCTACCTTGCGCTGCACGCCCGCCGCCTAACTCTCGCGCGTGATCGCCTACGCTCGCTACTCCTATGCCTGCTCGGACGAGGCCACCGACCGCGCCTTCTCCCCACTCGCGCGCCCATGCGCGCGCCTCGTCATCGCCGCCTTCCTTTTGCGCGTGCGCCAGTGCCCATCTCGCCCAATCCTCCCCAGCTTAGGTTTCTATGCGCGTCACCCCACGCGTTGCTACTCTCGTCGATCTCCTCGCATGTGTTGTTTCATGCGCCTACCAATCCTAGGCCTACAAGGCCTTAGCCCGCATGCTGCTCACTTGCTCGCCCTTCGCGCCCCGTCTGTTTTCCGTGTGACGCCCGCGCGTCCTGGCTACCGCCCGTGCTCAAATCCTCTATCGCACATCCTCGTGCACCCGCTGTACTGCGCGTATCTCCTGTCCCCGTGGCCTGCTCGCCCGCCATGCACCCACGTGCATCCTGCTCCATCCAACCGCGCGCATCATGGGCCGATGCGTGCCACCCGCTCGTGCTCGCCTCCTCGTCACCGATCGTCTCCGGCTGCTCGCCCAATGGCCCTAGTCCACCATGGCAGTCCCTGATCCGTACAAATGGCCCACTAGATGGACCCGGCTCATCCCATGGGTCCCATCCTTCCACGCACCTTCCACCTTTTCCCGTGCAATCTCCGACACGCCATGTCTAACCTTCCTCCATCCTTTGCTTACCTCGCCTTCGAGCTTCCTTCTTCTAAGCCCATTTTTTCCTTGCACAAGACCCACAACATTGACTTGCCTTTTGAGCCTTTGCTTTGCGTCGTCTCTTGGCCTTGCTTTCTTCGCCTTCAACTTCAACTTCGGACCACATCCTTTTGGCCAATCTCTTACGCATGATGGTCGGTAAATCGGACTAGATGGCTCCTCTAACATATTTTCCAACCAAACATCGAGATCCTCAACCATCCCATCACTTGACTCACCGGGGTTAATTACCACTTCCGTATCAGCGCGACAGCACGCGCGCGGGGAGGCCAGCGATAGCGAGGCGCGTGCACCAACACGCGAGTGGAGTACCGACGCGGGCGAAGGCCTCGACCGAGTAGGAGTAGGAGTGTGCGGCACTCGCGTGGGTGTTG